AAGTAGAAACCTCAAAGACTTAAGTACTTCTAGCTTTTAATAATGTAATACATAAGTAAGCGAATAATCAATTATTATGTATTCTCCCCAAATACACTGCTTTTATGTCTTCCATGTTATGATTTCCTATGATTTCATATTATAAAATCCTAACTGCCTAAAAATATGCTACGAGACATTAATACCTAGCAATATTTATATGCTTATGTCTCCCTATCTCTCTCCCGCTATTGTGCTCTCTTTCGCGCTCTTCCTATCTCTTAGCGCAAATTTCCTTTTTCATCTTTTTTCATCTCTAATAGCTATTAGTTCAATTTTTTATCCCAACTTTTGTAAAATTTCTATTATATTTAWACTTTTTTATCTTCGCAATATTTATTTTGCCTGTGTAGTTTATCGAACGACTTTATTATATTTACTTTCTTTATAAAACAATTTCATTTTTATACAACCGATGAAATATATGAAACGAAACTTTTAGCTTACGAATTTTTTGTAATATTTTTTAAATACATTTTATAAAGAAATATACTTAAATATACTACAATATATACAAACTAATATAAACTGCATATTTTTACCCAGTGAATAAATGCCACAAAATAAAAATGCGCACACAAATGCATGTTTTAAAAAATATTTGAAATTTAGTTATTTATACAGAAAAAGCCAAGGAAGATAAATTAGGAATTATCATAAGTAGGAAGGTATTATAGATAATAAAGCACTGCAGTTAGGTCTTAAACAAATTAAAACGAAACGAAAMGAGTGGTTTGATGTAGGTGTGGAATTTCGTAGAGGGATAATTGTCAAACCAGCTGTCAAAGTAAGAATATATGTTTGACCTTTATGTTCGTATACCTTGGCCAATTACCAAACTTTGAAGGCAAAAAGGTTTAAAAACCCATAAAATTTACCGCCACTTCAACCGTTAAATCCTCGGCAATGATAAGATATATTTCTGACTTAATTGGTACATACTTACCTGAAGGTAAACTCAGACACCATTGTCTCAAGAACTGAACAGAATAAAGAGAGTTTCTCGAGTGTTTTGAATGCCCAGAAGGCTATTGTACGTGGTTTTGTTGGCGAGATAGTGGTGTTCACAGCTCGTTCCACGATCAAGAATATATGGAGGTAAGGAAAGATACAAATTAAAAATTATGCGTTCTACAAATATCACAAGTAATATGCCATCATACAAGTATGATGATCTCGTCAACCTAAATACTCTTTTTCCATCCCTTTTTGGCCCTGGTGATACCACTTTCCTTGTACCTTACTAAAGTAGAGTCAGAAAGTTTATACTTACTTTATGGTTACCTAAAAATTTTACTGCTATCAATACAAAGCTTTTTCAAGCTTCAGTTTATCGAAAAGTCATAGTCAACTACTTCCACTTTACCATTTCAAGCTTTGGACATTTTTTACATTACGTAAGTCCTGAAAATGGAGATCACACCCTGATCAAACCCCTGATCATGCCTAGAAGAATAAATTTTACTACTAGGAAGCCAATAATAAATCAAAACACAAGATGTGTAATAGCAGGAGCATATTCAATACTTTTATGGAGAAATTCTTAGTCTGGACACGTGAAATATCAAAAATTGCTAAGATATTCAGATTAACAAAACATTTTTCTTTTTTTTGTTTTTAGTTTTTTTTTTTTTTTTTTTTTTTTTTTTTTTTTTTTTTTTTTTT